GTAGCAGAAGTGACATAAGTACCATAAGTACCATAAGTACCATTTCTGTCACTTTACTGTGACCTTGGATCGGGTAAGAATCGTAGCTTCAATTCGGGCACCCGTGATCCAAAAAATCAGGTTTACACTATATAGAAGATATGACAATTTAGTAAAATAATCAGGTTGTCAATCTTCTAAGTAGCAGATTGGGTATTCAAATTTCATTAACAGTAAAAATTTAAATATTACCTATGTAATATTCATATTATAACAACTATTAATAATAATTTGGTTAGGATACTTGTAATGACAGTTGTAGCACATGATTGGCAAATCATAGAATATCTGTGTAATTTGTTATACAAAAGAATACAAACTTACAAATTAAACAGTACAAATACTAGATAAGTTCGCATAGTCATATAAATCTATTGAAATTATATAATAAAAAGTTTATTTAAAAAGATTTGAGTAAAGAAATAATAGATTTTGACAACTCTACTATAAAAGTTAACTTGAGAAAATGAATACCAAGATCATAGTACCTAGTCACAGTATTTAAACAGACAAGAATCTTTAGGTTAGGAGTCTCAGAGGTACTACCAACCAGGCTGCTAAAACAAACCAAAGGAAAAGGATATCAAGATGACCTGATATATTAATGAATTAGTTATAGTTCTATATAGACTATTTGGATTGAGAGTTTAGTAAAAAGGTTGAACAAAAGACAGGGGTATACTAAAGTACTGAGATTATACTGTAAAGTAGATGCTAAGATTTGTATGAACTCTACAAAGGTATAACAATTAAATGATATAACTTTGACTGCAAGTATTAGTTCTGTTATAGCAATATTTAGATTAGCTGTAAAAATAAATACAGAAGACTTTGGAAATTTACCTCAAAAATAAATTAATTCTAAGATTAAGATAATGATCTGAATTAATAAAAATTACAAGTTCAGAAAGTTTAAAGTAAAATACCAAAACAGAGGTGTTAGGTATAGCAATTAGTAGGAAACTTTTAATTGAACTTCTTAAATAAGTAATATAAAAAAGTTATATGTGTGGCCAATTGTATTTTCTTTTATAGTAGTTTATAGAATTACATTACCAATAAGTTATTAATAAAAGTCAAAAGACCAAAGAGGTCATTTTAATATCAAAAAAAAAATTATATTATATGTTGTATTTTAATAAAAAAAGTTTAGTAATAATTTTACCAAATAAAAAAATTAATTTTAACATTATACAAGACTAATTTTGACTGCTTAAATACTGTAATTAGTTTTTTATTAAAAGGACAATTTAGGCATATATGTATATGTAATTTACTTATCAAATAAAACTGCTTCTTATTAACTAAGCCTTTTTATAAGTATTTAATTATAGAATGATTAACTTGTTATTTTAAATTTTCAAAACAAATATGAAACAATTTGATTAATCAATATAGATTAAGAAATTTATAAAAATCATTTAATATTTTAATTAGTTGTTTATTTTTTGATGAGAACTTTTAGTTAAAAAAAAGTTGATATTAACTAAAAATCAATTTCAAATAACTTAAATACTAGTTTTTTTTTTTAAGTCTTTTTTTCAATTTATTTTTTTATTAATCTTTATTTGTTTTGTTTTTTTTTATTATTTTAATTTAGAATTAAATTAGTTTAAAATTTTTTTATTATATTAATAATCTCTTAATTATGTAACTTATAATGAACAATTAATTTACAATTTAGTAATTTATAAATAATAATAATAAGATTAACAATAGTTTATTAGTTTAAATTAGATAATAGTTTTACTTTTATTATAGGTTAGATATTTAGTTTTATGTATACAAATGTATTTATTTAAGAATATGTTTTTTTTTCTCCTAGATAAGAAGTCTTTTATTTTAATAAAAGAATCTATTTACATTCAAGATTAACTTTTTCTATATTACTTATTTATGCAATATTATTATTAAAACTCTTATACCTATTATTATAAAAAAAACAGATATTCTATATATTGTTGATTTATCTGAAATAATAGAAGTAAATTTCTTTTACTTTTCATGTAATATTTACTCAAATAGGACTAAGACTTTAATTTAATGCTCAATTATATGTAACTCTAAAAACACATGAAAGAAGATAATCAATATGATATAGTAACAATTAATAGCTATATAGATCATCTGCCTAATGTAAGTTTCTCAAGTATAAAAGTTTTAAAAGTTATTTACAACTAATAGAAGAAATAAAGAAAATAAATACAAATGATAATTAATAGGTTATATAAGAAATATGAGTTTTAAATAATAAAGAAAATTAAAATAGTAAATAAATATAGCAGGTTTTTATTATAATTAACAAATTTTTGTAAATTATTCTGATATAATAGAATTTTATTGGTTAATCAAAATTTTAAATTATTAAATTACTAAATTATTATTAATAAAAAAATATATACAAAATTAATTATATTTGTGACTAAATTAATACTATTAAAAGTCTTTAATATGAAATATTAATAAATTTAAGCCTAAAAACCATAGTCTAGTTGCAAACAAAAATTGACTAAACAAGTTTTATTAAAGAATTCTAATATATTATTGTACAAATCAAAAAAAAAGAAATAAAAAAAATAAACCAAATAAAAAATATAATAAATACTTAAATTTATTCTAAAATAGTATATAATATAGATTATATTATTACTTTTATATATCAAATTTTATAAATTAAATTTAAAAGCTTATTAATATTATTAAATTTAATAATTGTTATTTTAAACTATATTTTTAGGATTATATATACTATAATATTAAAGTTTAAAAATCAATTTATTATATTTTAATTAAATATTTTTTTTATTAATTTATAAATTTATAAAAATATTTAAATTATTTAGTTTTTAATTTATAATTTTTTTATTATATAAACAATATTTTGTCTATTAAGTAAAAATGTTTTTATATTATTTTATATATAAGATAAATTTTTTTTAAAATTTAAAAAAATTTTTATTAGAATAATTTATAAATAAGTATTTGTAAATATAAAAAATATAGTAATTTTTTATATAAAATATACTTATATAGCAAGTTTATAAAATTAATAATTAATATATTTTTAAATAATATAAATATAAAATATATATTAAGAAGTTTATTTTATATATATAAATATAAATAAAATTTTTAAATTTTAAAAAAAATTTATAATTACTAATTTTTTTATATATAAGTATTATTAATTTTATTATATAAAATTACTAATTTTTTATGAATATAACTAATCTTCACCTAGAGTGATATCACTTATATTATAAAATTGTAAATAAAATAAACTTTTGAAGATTAGAATTAGGGTTTAAATTTATATTAGAGTTAGGATATAAGGTTATATATATCTAAAATTACATGTTGTAAACTTTTACTTAATAACTTAAAATTAGTTTTTATAATAAAATTTTAAAATATTTGTGATTTTTTAATTTTTTTTATAAAAATTTCTTTATTTTTGTTACATAAGATTCTGTGATCTGATTGGCTTTACATATAAAAAGATAATATCATTCTAAATAAAAGTTAGCAACATTCATTTTTTATATAATAAACTAATTTAAATAGATAATTTTTCTTTTATTATAACTTTTTTTTTATAATAATCATAGTTGAAATTTCGCAGATATATACATCAATGTTATACTAAGGTACTTATACAGTAGTACAAAAAAAATACTCAATTATGATTGGTTAATTTGGAAATATATCTAAAAATTTCAATTTTTTAATTTTTTTTTAAAAATTAACCAATTTTGAGATTTTTTTAAACAATATATAATCAAAAATTAAATTAATTTTTTTTTATAAATATATTCTATAAATCTTCAAATATTAAATATATTTATTTAATTGCAAGTTAATATATAAAATTTTATATAATTATATTTTAATTCAAATGTATCAATTTGTATATTATGCTTAATGAAATGACCAATAATCATAAATAATAATAGTAATAATAATAAACAGAAACAGAAACAACTTTTAATATTCACTTTAATATCAAATTGATCTTTAATTTTATTTTAATAATTGCTATACAGTTACAACACTACTATTATGCTTTAACTCATAGAAATATATAAAGCCTTATGTTTCCAACTTCGTATTATTAGCCTATATGATAGTCATATTTCATTGTTAGTTGGGATTACGAATAATAAGTTTTTACAACTGAAAGACAGCTTAAATTGACAAATTTTAATTGTTTCATTATACTTATAGGCTAAACTTAAATGTTCAAACATACCTCTTATCTAACTTCTGAATTACCTTGCGTATTACTAAATTACTTCAACAGTATATAAAATGGAGTTTGCTCTTTCTAATTTTTTTTGTTACAACCTTGGCAGTTTTGTACACGTGACTGCGGTTCTAATTTTGTGCCTGTGAAACGTTACGCTAATATGAAGAACATATTGTGTAACATTTCAGTCGATCATCCAATCATATTTAAAGCCCGCTATGCTGGTAAATAAGGGATAATAGGGTTAATATATTTAGAGATTTGTTAATGCCACCCCTACTTTTGCTAATGCCACCCCCTTGATATAAAATATTTAATCTCCGACCTTTCAGACCCTAATTATTAATTAGGGTTAACAAGTCTCAATATTTAATACCTTAAAGAACGTATATGTAATAGAACAATATATAATAAAGGCTTCGAGCCCTACAAGAACAGTAGTTCGCGCTTATCATAAAATTTGACCCTAATACTTTCCTGCTTTCGCTACATTATAATACCTACGATCATAAACACACCACTCGCCAAATCTAACCGCCTCTTATCGACTAAGCCGTTCGTAGGTTACACGACATATCCGTTTGTCAAGCGACCAACTCGCCGTTTCGACCTTTGTCACCATGATAATGGTACATGTAAATTTTTTATTTTTAATTTCATTACAAAACTTATTGAGACAACTAAGTTTTTAATTGAATAATAAACGTTCTTTATATTACTCCTACATTTTATTGAAAATCGAAAAATATAAATAATCAAAAGAGTGCTTCAGTTACAAAATAAATTCTATCTTAAAATAATAAAAATCTTGAATGTTTGACTTTTTAATTATCGTAATTCTCATAAGACACATTATTGCATAAGTCTAATTTGAAATATCATACATATTTAGAAAGATATAAATTTAAATAGACATATTCTGACTATTTTTAATTTAAAGTTTCGTTTATCTTTTTAGTGTCAATCAGTTTACTCGTATAAATATGGCTTTGATGAATTGATAATTCGATTTTTGGTACTATTTTATCAGCTTCTAAGAATTGTTTTCTGATCTCATGATCATCCTTATGTTCCGTTTCATCCTTCTGTTCCATTTCGTCAAGCCAATGAACAATTTTTGAGCAGATAATGGTAGCAGTTGGTCGTCCGTGTGGATCAGAATCCATACATCTTTTGGCCAATTTCACATAGCATTTTGGCGTTCCTTCACCAAAGTCTGGTCGATATCCTTTATAAATTTTTATGGCAAGTTTAGTATCAAAAGGAACGCCATCAAGTGCTTTTTTACCAGCGGATATCTCGGACATAATAACACCGAAAGAATATAAATCAGCCGCTTGAGTGAATGGTTGACCAATCAAGACCTCAGGAGCTACGTATGGCATGACACCGTTAATTTGGCCATCTTGTTTAATATCTGACGATGTTGAAAGACCTAAATCAGTGATGTACGCATCATGCAAAAGATCTTGCAAAATATTTCCGGAGTGTAAATCTCTATGGATTAATTCCTGGCAATGAATGGATTCAAGATCCGAAGCTATACAATGCAACAAATTTAACTTTTTTTTCCAATCCATTTTTACAACTTTAGAAAGGTTTTCACGCAGCGATCCTTCCTTTGCATATTCCAAAACTATAATATAGTCTTGTGAAACTGGATCCCTTGTTACTCCGTAGCATTTTAAAAACGATGGATTTTCGTATCCAATATCGCAATAGTTTTTCAACTATTTAATATTGGATAATTGAATAACTTAAAATTAAATGACTTAAAAATAAATGCAATTAGTTAATTAATAATATAATATTACCTCGTCAACGAATTCTTGACTTGATTTATTTGAATCATGAATTAATTTTAGTGCAACTTCCCTTCGCATGAATATGGATTCATTTTTATCAACCCAAATTGCCATATATACAATTGCAAAACCACCTTTTCCAATTTCACTTACGCTTGTAAATTCATTGTAGGGAATCCACTTTAGCTGATACTTTTCGTCATTTATTACTTTCTTTAATTTAGCATAAACTAAGTCTTCGTGCAATACTTGTTTGTTTATTTTCTTCGAGTTTCTTCCCTTTCGATACCAATGGTTAGCCCGTTGTATGTCTCTTACTACTCCTATTCCTTTTCTATAACAATCTC